AATCATAGTCGATTATTCTCCTCGAATTCGACTGTGATTGGTCAATTTCTTACGACTTAAGGCTTAAAACACCTATTGTAGATCCGGGATAGGCTTAAAACCCTATTATAGATCTGGGGTTAGGAATAAGGAATAACGATTTCAACCTATCAGAAATCGGATACATCAGAATACACGGTTTCTGATAGGTTGAAATCGTTATTCCTTATTCCTAATTCCTTATTCCTTCTATTGTGGCTGCACCTTTTCTCTTTTAACATTCGTTCCTAAATTCATCACAAAATTCTCAATAGAAAGGCGGGAAACTCAGCAACACGTTGCTGGAAGCAGAAGGAATGCAGAAAACAAAATACAGAATTTACAGGGAATGACAGATTGACGGTTCATTATCGTTATATACATACAATGCTTTATGTTTGCATATATCGTATATAATACTCAATTCTGTAAGTACGCAATTCTATAATTCATTGAAGATCATTTCTGCGTGAGATGTGTATACAAAAATGTCATTCTTTTCAAGAGAAGTGATAAAAGCTTCATTTAAAGAGAAAGCAGAGACTTCACATCCCAAAGAGTTTTGAGAGAAATACAGGAATGGAACCCCCGCAGGAATTTCCATTTCCCTTTCCGGCGTACGAAATCCAGAAGCGATTTATGAGAGAGCTTTACGTTTGTTTGGAAGGTGGCAAGCTGGGTCTCTTCGAAAGTCCCACGGGGACTGGAAAATCCTTGTCCCTTATTTGTGGTGCGCTTAAGTGGCTGGTTGATCATGAGAAATGGAAGAAGGAAGAGTTAACTTCGACGATCGCTAAAATAGACGATAAATTAAAGAGCTGTGAGAAGCTATCCGATAATTGGTTTACTGTGCAGACAGAGCAGATAGAGCTTAATGCTGAGAAACAGCCATTGCAAGCCAAGCTAAACGCATTCCTTGAGTACGAAGGCCAGAGAGAGAAGCTTAAAAAGATGATTGTTGAATCAAAGAGGGCGAAAACAACTGGAAAAATGAGGCAGCAACTTATCAAAAAAGTTCCAGAGTCGGATAAGACAGAGGAAGTGAATGCTGATGTTTGTGACATCGAGAAGAATCTTATCTTGGAAGATGGATTGTCAAACTCAGAAAGTTCTGAGGAAGAAGACACGGATGAACCGTTATTTAAGAATACCAAAATTTTCTTTTGCTCCAGAACACATTCACAGTTGACACAGTTCGTCCATGAATTGAAAAGATCTCCCTACTCTCAAGAGATTTCTGTAGTACCACTTTCATCGAGGTATCACTTATTTATTTTTAATATTTTAATATATTATCCAGCTAAAATTTATTAACATCTTATTTCATTCTAGGCAAAATTACTGCATCAACAAAAATGTCAAGAGACTGAAGCATATCAATCTGATTAATGAAACCTGTCTTCAGCTGCAAAGAAAGAAGACTACTGTTAAGAAAGAAAAAGATTTAAAGAAATCAAAAACCGCAAGCAGTTGTCTATTTATACCAGGTGATCAGAAACTTTTAATGGCTGAGGTTCTAACAAATATTCAAGATATTGAGGAGATAACGCAGAAAGGACAGGAAAATAACACTTGTCCATATTATGGCTCGAGAAAATCTCTGCAAAATGGACAATTAATATTAGTACCATACAATTCTATTTTTCATAAGAACACCAGAGCCAGTTTAGGGATAGACTTAAAAGGGAATATATTAATAATAGATGAAGCCCACAATTTGCTGGACGCCATTGAAAGAATGCACAGTTCTGTAATTACTGGGAAAAATTTGCTCCACTGTTACAGTCAGCTGTCGCAATATCAGAAAAGGTATTGCTGCACTTTTTTCGATTGTTATTAAATTGTTAGATAAATTTCTGATTGAAAGTAATATAATTGTAGATTTGAATCTTTGTTCTCTGCTAAAAGTGTGATGTATCTAGGCCAACTGAGTTTTTGCTTGAAGAAGCTTCTAACTCTCTTTGGAGCAACAACAAAATCTCATCCTAATGACGAGATCGATAAAACAATAGCACCCAAATTGTACAAAATAGAAGATTTCGAAGTGCTTACAGAGATTGATACAGTAAACATATTCAAACTATTGGAATTCATCAAAACTTCAAAACTCATTCATAAGTTACAAGGATTTGTTGAACAGTACGGCAATAATATTAAAATCAATGAACAGAAGATAAAGAAATCTGGCATAACAGAATTTTTAAACTCGATTAAAAACAATGATGTATTGTCTCAAGAAACTGTTAGCGTTGCGGATACACCAAGTAACAATGAAGAACAGACGAGCAATCCTTTGATGGCAATCTTAAATTTCTTGGAGTGCTTAAAGAACAGCTGTGCAGACGGCAGAATATGTGTTCTACCTAGCACTAATGTTGGACAAGGAATTATAAAATTTCTATTGTTAAATCCAGCAGCACATTTTCATGACATTGGTAAGCAAATACTTATTTGGAACTATATACGTTTTCTCATTTTTATCTTTTTTTAATTGAATATTTTGAATTTTTTGTTACAAATATAGTGAGAGATGCCAGATCTGTGGTTCTAGCCGGTGGCACAATGGAACCAATATCCGAATTCGTAGATCAACTATTTTTAATGGCGGGTGCTACATCAGACAGAATTATGACATTTTCGTGTGACCATGTAATTCCTAAGGAAAATATCATATCCAACGTTGTAACGCGTGGTCCGACTGGAATCGAATTCGAATTTAATTTTCATAATCGACAAGATACAAGATTGGTAATAGAATTATTTTTATCTCTTTGATTATTGTATTATTTAAAGAGATATATGTACTTAGAAAAAGGATATCCACAGAGATTGATGCTTTGTTTTAGCTGGATGAATTAGGTAGAGCATTATTAAATTTATGTAACGTTGTACCAGCTGGAATAGTAGTGTTCTTCCCATCTTACAACTATGAGGACACAGTATTTAAGCATTTAGATAAATCTGGTATTATATTCAAAATTTCTACAAAGAAACGTATCTATCGTGAACCTAAATTAGCATCACAGGTATTTTTGTTACAAGTTTACTAAAAAATAACTAATATTATTAAATTTATTTATTTAACTTATTTTAACTTATTTAATTTAATTATATTAAATTTATTCATTTATACGTTTATTAACAAATAACTAATATTATTTATTTAATTTAAATTAATCAACATTATCTGTAGGTTAATACAATATTAGATCAATATGCTCATTCCATCAAGAATCCACAATCCCCGTGTAATGGAGCAATGTTGTTCAGTGTAGTAGGTAAATAAATTAAAATTATATCAATATTGTAGATTCCTATTTGTATTTTTATTTATATTATTTTTTTCAGGAATATTGAATCACATTTTTTATTTACATATTTTGTAGGTGGTAAATTAAGCGAAGGTTTAAATTTCTCTGATGATTTGGGCCGATGTGTCATAGTCGTTGGCTTGCCATATCCTAACGTTAAATCACCAGAATTACAAGAAAAAATGAAGTACTTAAACGAGAGTGTTGTACGTATATTCAGATTTCTTTATTGCAGAGCTTAGAGAATATAGTTTAATTTTATAAATTTTAATATCTTTCATTTTTTCATTTTCCGATTTCTGTTTTTGTAGAAATTGGACGCCGGAAATAGGTTTTACGAAAATTCTTGCATGAAAGCAGTGAATCAATGTATTGGCCGATCTGTCCGTCACATCAATGATTACTCGACGGTTGTACTATTAGACAAACGTTATTGTCATAAAGTCAAAGTACTGCCTCAATGGATTCAACGCTCCGTAACGATTAACGATTCATTTGGTTCAGTAGTTGGTAACATCGCAAAATTTTTCGCAACGAAAAGAATTAAGAAAGCTTAATCTGTGATAATAAATCGATAGATTTTGAAGTATTACAAAATTTATAAATGATCGTTAATAATATCCGTAATAATTTTTCTATTTGACTATGTCGACTAATAATTTGATAATAATATTTTACTTAAGGATATATTTGTGTTTTTAGTTGATACTTCATAATTATAATATGACGACGGAATTATTTTCTATACCAATACAAGTTTGATGCTTTTCTAATTTAGAAACGCGTCACATGTAATTGGCCAATTGGATGTCAAATTTGTAAATTAAATCATGACAATAGACTTCTCCGGGTCGTAGAATAGAACAGGGAAAATGCGACTGAAAGAAAATTAACTTGTAATGAATGCAAAGAAATATTATCGTGCAATGTCTTAGTCGTTTCACTACTCACATAATTAATAGCATTTGGATAGTTTTGAGG